CCACCAGCAAAGGTCATGTCCTTTCAGGAACAGACAACATCAAAGTTTCTTTTTTTTAATTTTCCTGAGTGAAGATGCTGAAACAGAGCGGTAGTTTTAAAGACTATTCTTGTTTCCTTTGTGAGTTCTGTAGTGAAGGACATGAAAAATCTAGGGGCTGGTATGAGATCCCTGGTCACTTCAGGGAAGGCAGTGATAAGGACAGAGAACAAGAAGTATGTATATGAGGGTAAGGGGGACCAAGAAAATGAATCAGATAGTAAATGTCAGATAACGTCTGTGGCAAAAACCACAATGGAAATTGCCACTAATTGAGGGATTCTGTAAATTCATAAAGTTTTGTACCACTGCCACAATCCGGGGGGAAAAAAGAGTTGTTGGGATCATGATGTTACTACTTCCTGTATACTATGGCATTCCCTGTTCTGACAAATGGTTGACCTCCTGCTCAGAGAGTTGTAAAGGGCACCTTCATGGAGTTAATTCTGCTTGCTATGGCAATTACCCCCCACCTTCTTCTCTCCTGGCTCATCTCTTCTTCCTCTCTTAGCAGTCACTCTTGAGGAAAGTGAATTCATTCTTGGTTAAGTTGCAGGTACCTCTCCTGAGTTCATTTGGAAAGCATCCTTTCTCTGCAGCTACCTGGCATCTGAGCTGGCTCCTCCCTCTTGCCTTACCCTGAGCCCTCTGATGGGGCCTCAACTCTTAGGCCAGATCAAGTTTCAGTTTACATTTCTCTGTTTCTGTGGTTCAGATTGAATTTGACCTCTCCCATTACTCCTGCTTCTTTGCATTTTCCAACCTGTTCATTTGTAGCTTTCATCCCTAATTTCCACGGTTTCAAGCCTCATTCAGTCTAGTTTCATTGTTTCCTGCAGCAGCCATCCTGCGACCCTTTCCTGTCAGCTCACTGGCTCATTATAAAATAGCCTAAATAAGTAATTGAGAATGTTCGTATAAACACACAGTAAAGAAAGGAAGCCCAGATGACCACGGAGAGAGGCTTGTTCCCATTAACAAGGAAGAATAAAGGGTAAAAAATAGACTTGAGCCAGGCCCGCATAGCTCAGTGGTTGAGCATCCACCCGTGAACCAGGAGGTCATGTGTTCGATTCCTGGTCAGGGCACATGCCCAGGTTGAGGGCTTGACCCCCCCAGTGGGGTGTGTGCAGGAGGCAGCCAATCAATAATTCTCTCTTATCATTGATGTTTCTATTTCTCTCTCCCTCTCCTTTCCTCTCTGAAATCAATAAAAATATATTTAAAAAATAGACTTGAAAGATACATATTATAAAATGATGTATATGAGATATATGGTAAAGACATTCAGATCAGACCCCCTATCTATAGTTTTCAATTTTCTATTAAAGTGCTAATAGGCTATTACTAAAGAGGGAAGCAAGAATTTTCATGCATATTCCAAAATTTTCAAGTTTTTCAAGGCCTGCAGATTTAAGACCTATGAGCCAGGAAAAAAACAACAACACTTAAAAATATCAAACACAGTTGTTTAAATAACTTTTTCATCTTTCTGATTGTACAGATGATTGATAAAATAATTCAACTTAATCATGTAGTTAATCTTTCCAAATTAAGACTTGCAACATAGGAAGGAAACTATCATTCTTATTGACTTCCTGTGTAACAGAGGTCATTCTAAATGATTTGAATTTAAAAAAAAAAGACAGTTAAAAAGAAAACCTCCAACTATAGAACACTACATATATGTCAAAATTTAAGAGAAGTTGTCCTACTTGATCTAACACATTTCATTTTCCCTGAACTTTTCTTATAATTCAGCTGCACTCTGTGATAAGTGAATTAAAGTTCCAAAGGCATTTCTTAGACAATACACTTGAAAATTGGATTCATAAGTGAAACTTCCAAAGCAATTAAAATTTACAATACAGCTTAACAAACAGCTTCAAAAGCATTTGTATAAAACAGAATAGACAATATTGTCAATCTAGGTGAAGAGAGTATCAAGTTTGAATTGTATACCCTTCAGGGAGTCACAAACATCTAGTTAAACATTCTAGATTACTAAGAAAGTAAACCATTTCTAAATTATCTTTTTGCAAGAAATCATTTGTAGAGTTCAAAATCCACATGACCATTATAAAAACAGATAATCTATAATAGTCATCTCCAGGAATCATTATTTCTTTTTTCACTACAGTGAAGGAGTATAACCAAAAATTCAAAAGAATTTATTATTTTACTCTCTAAACAAACTTTAAGTCTCATCTTCCTTTGTTGGTCATTTGGTCACTTGAATTGCTTTTTCATTATCACCTATCAAGTTGTCTCTGAAGCCAGTCTAAGGATGTTGGTGTAGCCTTTAGAAAGTTTAGATGGTTGTGTTGTGGAAATTCCAAAAGGGCTTTGAGTGGGTTTTAGCTCAGCTGGGCTTAGGTGGGGGCAGAAAAAAACATGGTATTTATAAGGCAAATCCCATCAACACAGAGCAGTCTAGGACCCTGAACACTCAGCTTGATGCAATTCAGAATTATGTCTACCCAGTAGCCCTGTCACTGAAAAAGGTTCCCAGGAGAAGGTGTCACTTCCCATTGGCTTCATTTGTTGCAGTCATTGAAAAGGCAAACTCCCTATAATTATATCCCTCTTCCCTTGTCTTGAAAACATAAATATTCTACTTGGTTCTATTAACACTACCTAACACTTATAGCTTTTATAGCGTTCAAATCATGTTCAGAATGCACAAGATCAACTTGATTCCAGTAAGTAATCTTAAAATAGGGCAGGTACTGTTATGAACACTTTATGGAAGAGGAAACTGAGGCTCAGAGTGACATTAAGTAATCTGCACAAGGTCATCTAAATGTAGGCGAGAAAGTGAGATAGAATAACCCCTTAGGGCTCCAATGACACGTTTCACTTTCTTGGATTAACTTTTTTTTTTTTTTTTGAAGTGAAACCCACATCTCAGGATAATACTTCGGATGTATTGAGCAATCCCTTACTCTACAGAAGAGACAACCTGTGAAAGGAGATAGGCCTATCTTACGAAGACTCCAAGCAGGCAACAGCAGTAGGAAAGTCCCCAGTGCCTTCCACAGAAGAAAGCTAATCACTGTATGAATGATCTTAATTAAATGTGAATGCATTGCTACTGAATGCTGTGGAAAAACACAGCCCTTACTGGCTGCTTTTCCCATAGTGCTTAGTAGCAATACCTTCAAATTCAATTAAGATAATTCATAGAGTGATTAGCTTCATTATACGGGGAGACACCAGGGACTGTCCTGTTGCCAAACTGTATATATGGTCTGCGTGAGATAGGCCTGTTCCTCTCTTGTGTGTTGGTTTTTAGTGAACACAAGAAGAAGTAAATCTCACGGTGACATAACCCAGAGAACTTCTAAATTCCACTGAAAGGCAGTGAGGAAATTATGGTTTTTTTTACAGACTGGTCTAAAGGTTAAATGATCTCAAAACAAATAAGTTTTTCAAATACCCTTTTTAACAGGCTAGTGGTAAACAACTGATGAAGCTCTTAGGGAGCCAGGAGAGAAGACACAACTGGGCACTCATTTTGGGCCAATGGAGACCAAGAGGTTAAGTTCAGGACCCTAAATATTCCAGTTGTGAAATGCTGCATGGAAAGACCTAGGTGTATCCCATTCGATAAAGGTCAAGGGGCTCACTTGCCTGTGTTTCCTCATGAAAGACATTTAGTGCTGAGATAATGACCGAGGAACCAACCAAACAACAACACAGCACCAATCCTATGAGCCGTAAGTCTGGTAAATTCTATCCACGTTATATTGCCATAAGATAGATGATGAGTATAAAGAGAACCACTGTTACTTAAGATGTAGTATTCTGGCTCCTGAGTTCAGCATGTCAAGGGCTGACTATTCATTAGTTTGATTATTCATTTAAATGACTATTCACAAAGCATCATTATATTAACACTTACACAATTTTTTTTTTTAAAAGCTGCTCTGTTTCTAGATGCTTATATGAACAAAAAGTATATTTACCCCTAGTGGTCCTCAACTGGGGACATCACTCTCCCCGCCCCAGGGGACATCTGGAAATATTAGAGATCTTTTTGTCACAACTGGGGAGAGTTTGCCACTAAGCATCTAGTCAGTGGGTGGAGGCCAGGGATGTTACTAAATATCGTACAATGCAGATAGCCTGGCACAACAAAGAAATCTCAGACCCCAAATAACAGCAATGCTCAGGTGAAGAAAGCAAGCAAAATTTGAACACCCCATAGAATGAATATTTCTGTAGAAAGAATTCCCAATCATGTTGTTGCAGCCATTTATCATATACAGTGAACCCTTTACATTACACATGGTTCACTGTAGGCCTCCAATACTTAGCTGCGGATTGTTCTAACAGATAGGCATCTTGAATTCTGTAATAAATACACATTTCCGGAGCCCTCATTTTGTTTACAGACAATAAAAAGGCAGAAACATTTTAACAGTAAGCAAACCACATCTTTTGAACTTTTAAAACCTACCAATTTCTACTCTCTTCCCTGACTCATGTAATCAAACACTTATTTACATTTTCTTTCATCTTTCGCATTGTTCTAAGAATTCTAAAACAAATAATGAGTGGTATGTGACAAAAAACAGCAGCAGTATTTTTTAAAAACACAACTATGTACAAGTGATCAACTGGGTTCTTCATTGAGGCACTGGTAGGCTTTTAAAAAAGACAATTTTCTAGTAATAGTTTAACTATTTAAATCCTCTATCAATATGTTTTAAAATATCAATGGGAGTAATTCCAATATTCCAAATAGTCTAATAATATCTTAGCTACTTAAATTGTCTACCAATATGTTTTAAAATAATGATGATGATAAGAGGATATTTATGAGCCAAACTGAAAATTTGGTCATGTCTAGGACCTTGCCCACAACTTTTATAAGAATACCACCCCAGAGTTAATCTTAATTTTTTTAAAGTACTGAAATAAAGCCAAGAAGCAAACAGCGACATTCGGATACCTACGGAACCGAGTCTGTGGATTTCTTCTTGATTGACTCTTCTCACTGTCCGTCTCTTCTTCCAAAACTCACTGGGCTCCCGTTTGAAAACTTTTGCTCGGAAGCTCATTGTATTGCTGTCATTTGATTCGCAAAATATTTAAAAATGTCAGTTTTGTCAAACCTCTTCCTTCTGAAGCCTCACCAGGCCTAACGATTCTTTCTTCTCTGATAAAAAGGGAAATGCTCATGCTACATGAACATAACTCACCCGAAAGGAAAAGAAAACCGACAAGTTACCGCTTCCTGTAAGTAACTAACTACCAGCTGTTCAGATAGGCTTCTTTGCAAGTATTCTTCTTCGTCACCTGCTTTAGAGCAAGACAACAACACAAGGGGACTTTGGACATCCAAGAGAATCGCTCATAGCGAAATAAACCATAAAATGTAAGTCCACCCATGGAACCAAATCAAGGTTGAATCAAAGAGCTAATTTACTGTAAGGGTCTATGTCTTCCACTTAAATGGCCATCCAAACTTTATCAGTCTGGCTAGATCCAAAGGTAAATTATAATAACATGCCTGAGGTCTGAGACATCTGTTTAAGGCAGTTGCTCATGAAAATGTAGTTAAATTAGTGGTTTTCCTAGAGGGTTGCCCAAGACAATTAGAGAACAAGAAAATATTAGAATTTTATTTATATTGTTTATCTAAATAAAGAAAATTGACTTGGACGCCTTGATTTTCTATGCTAAATGGTCACAAAGGTTCAAATAGTTAATTCCCTAATCTTTAGAGTTTTGCTTATTTTCTCTGAGGTTGTGCTAAAGGGCAACTCTTCCCTCAAACCCACCAGAATGTCCCTTCCTGTTTTATTTTTCTTCATAGCATTTAGTAGCATGCCACACTGCTGTACATTTTACTTATTATTCAAATTATGGTCTGTCTTCTACTAGACTCTATACTCCATGAAAGTGGAAGTTTCATCTGCCTCATTCACTGTGTCCTTCAGTGATTAGAATAGTATATAATTAGGTTTAATGAAAAAAATAAATGGGGAACTTACATTGATTGTGCTTAACAATGAATCTTGTCCCGTATGCATATTATGTTTTGAAATATTAGTTATGAAAAGAACTATATAATTTATAAATAAACATAGAATATGGGAGTATAGTCAGTATTTTCCTATGAGGTGCATGAGATAAATATTTGGAGACCACAGAACTAGGAAATGATTGACTAAACTTTAAAATATTTTTTCTAAAATCCCTGATCCTCAGAGAAGGTCTCACTTAACCAGCTAGTTCCAACAACCATGCCCTTAAATAGATGTCATCGGCTTATTCAGTAAAGTTTCCCTTTATCTCAAATACATTTTTACTGATGCAGGAAATTCCCTTTTCCAATAATAACTAGATTTAGCTGAAGCACATACATATATCTCAGACTTGAGCAACTCAGACATCTATACCTTGTCACGGGGCAAGTAAAAAGAGATGCTGATCATTACTTGTTGAACTATGGAGACTGAGGAAACCTCTTTCAAAAGCCATAAGAAAAATAGCAAGATGCTATAAAAACACCTGGAGGGGTAAACTATATCATTAATCTGTAACTGGCTCAAGTAAGCAACCAGGAATTCCACTTTGACCCATGGTCATTCAATATGGGAATTCCACTGTATGTGTTTACCCTAAATAGATCTCACCCTCTAAATAACTTTCACATTTGTTCCATCAGCAGGTATATTATAGTACACACCGAGTTTTCAGATTTACTTTTTTTTTTATTATATGATACTAGAGGCCCGGTGCATGAATTTGTGCACCAGTGGGGTCCCTCGGCCTGGCCTGTGGGATGGGGCCAAAATCAACTTTCTGATATCCCTTGAGGAGTCCTGGATTGTGAAAGGGTGCAGGCCAGGCTGAGGGACCCGACTGGTGCACGATTGGGGCTGGGGAGGGATGTGGGAGGTTGGCCAGCTGGGGAGGGACTGTGAGAGGGCCCCAGGGTGTGTCTGGCCCATCTCAGTCCTGATTGGCTGGACTCCAGCAGCAAGCTAACCTACCAGTCTGAGCATCTGCTCCCTTGTGTTCAGTGCATGTCATAGTGACTGGTCAACCAGTAGACTATCTGCCCCCTGGTGGTCAGTGCACGTCATAGTGAGCAGTTGAGCTGCCTTAGCATATCATTAGCATATTATGCTTTGACTGGTTGAACAGCCAACTGGTCGACCTGACATTTAGCATATTAGGCTTTTATTATAGGATTTTGAGAATCTGCCTCTGAGTCACCTAATGTCCTGGGGTGCACAGTAGCTGTAAAAAGTATTTTACAGTCCCTTTTGGACTGTGGATCCATTTGAGAATCTAATAAAAACTGTGGATTCACCAGAAAAGTGTAAGTATCAGAAAGTATACATGCAAGGTTAAAGGTCACACATGTCAAAGTCCATCTGAGGACCCTCATACCCAAGATACTGTAAATTCCTAACTCAGAGTTTTAGAAGATTCAGAAGTTTTAGAAGGAATACTATCTTATCACAAGGAATTTAAGAATCTTGAGCAACTCTTAAATGACTTCCTCTCTTTCTAATATTTGCATCTCGTCTCTCCTCTATTCCTCTTTAGGTGCCACGTATTTTTATCTGCAGCCCCTCCCACTCTGTGACTTCTGCAATATGAGAATGACTCATTTCTCCCCTGGCTTAGCTTTTGATTGCAACCCTCTTAAAGAGAGGCATTGCCAGGCAACATATGGGGTTGTCAGATAGCCATAAATGCAAAGGAAAGGAAGATCCAGCAACATGAAGTGGTGTTCCCTGGATGGCACTGTTAGACAACTCTACTGAGCTTTGCTTTCCTTCATTTCAGACCAAGCCTATTTATCCAGCATTCTGTGATACCCCACACCATTCCAACAAATTCCCTTTCTGCTTAAGTTCAGAAATATGTTGGCAATCAAAAAACCTAACTAGGACATTGGGCAAGAATGGACAATAAAGAGAAATTCCTTGTGGCTCAACCACAAGCAATCCCTGGGAAGTTCATTAGAAAAGAAATCTGATACCGGCAAATAGTCAGAATTTATGAAGTACTATACTCAAGGCATTGCTGGGCTTCACAAGAAGTACATAACACCCTTTCTAGCCGTAAGAAGCTTGTACCCACAGAGGAATTCTAGAATTTGAACTAGTCTGGGAAAGCTTTACAGTAAAGGTAGAACCTAAGGATCGCTTTGGCTATTGGATGAGAGTGGAGTAGATGGGAAAGGGTAAAAGATACTCTAGGGAAGGGGAATGTAGTGCAGAAAAGGCGTAAGATAGAAACATTAGAATCATAGGATCTTCAGTCATCTTGGACCAAATCCTAGGTCCACCACTTCCTGACTGTGTGTCTTTCAGCCAATCACTCACTGTCTCTAGGAATAAGTTCTCTCTTCTGTAAAATAGGGATAGCATGGTAGCCACCTCAGAAAGTTGTGAGAATAAATGAGAAGATTGAGTGACTCTTAAAAATTTCATCACAATGCACGGTACATAGTAAGCAAAACTATTAGTTGTTACAAAAGCTAAAAGGCATGCCAAAACAGGATGTTTAAGGAAAAGTTGGAAGTCCAGCCCATCTGGAGCCAAGGGTTGAATAAGAGAGAAGAGATAGAAACTATTAGAAAAGAGAAGTCAGGGACCAGTTCATGGAGGACTTTGAATACTGAGATAATGAATGTTTCCACTGTATCCTGAAAGCCATGGGAAACCACTGGAGGATTTTTAAAATTATAATTAAATTAGTGCCATTGGAAGATGCATTTGGTAGCTATATGCAGGCTGGATTTGGGAGAATGTGATCCAGAGACAGTTTGCATTAATCCAGGTGTGAGCATAGAGTGGTGGAGGGCAGAAAACTTGTCAACAAAAACAGATTTCAGGGAGATTATACATAAAGACTTGGCAACTAAATGAAAAATGATAGCTGAAATTTACTGAGCAGATACTAGGGATGGGTGCTGGTCTAAAGTTTACAGTACCTTATTTCAACCATGCAACAACCTTGTGAGGTAGGTATTATTATTGTAATCAGCACCCCAGTTTTACAGAGGAGGTTACTTGGGACCTGAGAAGGTATGCAACTGGCCCAAAGTTCCAAATCAAGTAAGCAGCACATCGGGGATCTAAAACCAGCAGTCCGGGTTCACAGCCCATGCCTTTAACCAGAAGAGAGGCTCACAGATGTCAGCAGGCTTATGAGTTTGGCCATCAAGAAAATGGATAATATGACCGAGGAACACAGGAAGGTAAGAAGAAAGGACTTGCTTTCCTACCAGTGCTGACTTAGAGACATACTGAGTATCAGGACAAGAAAACAGACAAATGGGCATGTCTAGCACCATTGTTATACGTGTGCCTCGAGCTCAGGAAAGAGTCAGGCCTGCAGATGTGAAGCTGAAAACCATCAACACAGTTAAAATTGAAAGTCCAAAAATAAACAGAATTCCTGGAGAACAGAGTAGTATGGAATTAAGAATAGAGTCATTTTTCTTTCTTTTACTTTTCACCTTGTTATTGAATTTATTGGAGTGGCATTGGTTAATAACATTATATAAGTTTTAGGTGTACAATGCTATAATACACCATCTGTATATTGTTTTGGGTATTCATCGCCCCAAGTCACGTCTCTTTGAATACAGTCTTGAAGTTCTTTTACATATGACAGATGGAAGGCGGTTTATGAAATTGAGAGGCCTAGAGATAAAGGGGAAATCTACCAGGGCAGTGCAGCATCCAGATGCACTGGGGAGGGGAATTTAAGGAAGGTGGTGCATGGCATCTGGGCTGAGATCCAAGTAGGACCCAAGGATGTCCAAAAAGATTCAGTGTGAGAGATAAGCAAGGTGAAAAGTAAGGACCTTGCAGTCTTGGATTCAGACAGATCTATGTTGGAATCCTCTTCAGCCATCTATTAAGTGACTTCCAGCAAGTTACTTGACCTCTGTCTGCCTGTTTCTTATATCTACAATGAAGCAATTAGTATATAACTTATGGGGCTGTTGTAAAATAATGTTAGTACCTGGCATTGAGGAAATATACATATTATGTGCATGCATATAGAATAGCTAAGATTCCTATATGTGCATATAATGTAAACTATTATTTATTGAATATGACTGGTATTTACAAGGTCTACCTAGATATATAATGAATGTATAGACACACCTATACCACATGCATATACAAAATACACAAACACACATATTCATATATATATATATATGCAAAGTTTGGTCCCATGCTGTTCAGACAGAGAAAGTGAGTTATCAATTTTCAATAGATGAGAGTCTGGCTGTTTGGAAGTTAGTGAAGATGGTAAGAAGAAATAGGAAT